GAGCTGTCCTTATATAAGAAGAGGAGATTAGACCACAGACGCACACATACACAAAACCACATGAAGACACAGAGAAAAGACAGCTACGTACAAGCTAAGAAGAGGAGCCTTAGAAGAACCAATCCAGGATGCCAGCCCTACTGATTCTTTGATCTCAGACTCCTAGCTTCCAGAACTATTAGAAAATACATTTCTGTTGTTTAAACCACCTTGCTTGTGGTACTTTGTTACAGCAGCCCTAGCAAAGTAGTACAAAACTCACACTTGCAAATAAGGGGAGTTCTGTCTCTGACTTTCCAATTCTATAGTTCTCTTTCTGTTTCTAATCTTATAACAATGGTTAGAATCCACAGTTACTTCACTAAGAAATCTAAAGTTTCACCAGTAGCCATAATGTTTGCTCCAGGTTTTCATAAATATAAAACTTAGCTAAATGACGTCTGTTAGGTGATTTTATCATAGGTATTGCATTTTAGTGAATGCTCACCATGTATCCGTGGAATTGATCATTTGGGTTTTATTCTTTAATCTCTTCTCTGCTTTATTATATCAATAGATTCTTTTGACCTTTGCATTCCAGGGCTGAGACCTATGTTCTCATGATAGAGATATAAATATAAATTTAAATTTTCAGAATTTTATGTAGAATTTTTGCCTTTTGCCCATAAGACAAATTTGTTTAAAATATTATTTTCTTACTCTTCTTAAAATTCTACCAATGTCACTAAAGGATTACGAGGTTTTCTACACTTTGAAATACTTTGTATAAATTATGGGTTAACTATAAATTAAAATTTTTATAAAACTTGTCTATTACAAGCCAGTTATTTTTCTTGAACACTTATTTTACGTATTTTAAATCTTTCTACATTTTAAAAATGGAGTTTTATTGCTATACATTTACCTGCAAGTACCGCTTTAGCTACATGTCACAAGTTTTAGTATAGAGTACTTTAAATTTTTTTCTTTGGTATTTTCTCCTTTATCCACTCAGTTATTTATGACTTCACTTATTTTATAAGTACATGAGTTACTAAGGGTTTTTCCTTGTCATATGTTTCTAATTTAATGTCATCATATCAAATAATGGTGTCTACATAATATCAATCCTTTGAAATTAACAATTTTGAAATCTGAAATTGAATGAGGATTAATTTCCTGGTTTTGATCGTTGTGCTGTGGTTATATCAATGTTAGCACATATAAAAATATATGAGAATTATCCACATACGATTTATGTAACTTTTTGTGTAATGGAAATTTTTTTCAAAATGAAAGCTTAAAACAAAACAAAAAAAATTAAAAATAGACTGTTTTCTTGACTAACTCCAAGTATGACTTAAGAAGAGATGAACTGGAGAGATGAACTTTTGTCCCAGCATGGAAGTTTAGAGGTAGTGTCCGTGCAGTGGTCTGGAGCACTTCTCTAGATTCAGACTGCCAAGCTTTAGACCTTTCTAGATGTGGCCTTATGGTAGCTGTATAATGTCAGTAAGCTGCAGTTTCTCTACCAGTAAAATGGAGATTACAGTAATACTTACTTCATAGTTATGAGGATCTAATGACATATGTATATAGTGCCTTGAGCTTGTTAAGCAATCGTAATATTTGCTATTATTATACTCACAATAACTAAACTGGAAGAAAGGAAAAACAGAAGAACTAACTTAGCCAATGCTACCCAGTTCTGGGACTCAGTTTTTGCAGTGATCTTTCTACTGTTATGCACTAGGCATTATGAAAATTATTGCATATTTAGTTTAAGTAAAATTAAAAGTGAAAATATAGACCATAAGAGATCATATATATTTATTTATATTATTTATTATTATATTTATCACATATATATTTTTGATTATATATGATCACATATGATCAAAATATAGATCATAATAGATCATAATCTTATTATTTGCATTATGCAAATGCTAACGATAAACTTTTTTCATTATTGCTAAACTGCCGCTCAGATTGCTGTTTGCTTATGCTCAATTTTAGCAAATGGTCAGAAGAATTTCTTTTCCTTAATTCGTAGTTTCGATAATCTAGCATCATCATCCATCAAATTGTTCTGTTCAGGTGGTTTGTTATATAGAAAGACACTTTAAACAGACAAGTTTGTTTTCATCCAGTGTACCTCTCATTCTTTCTGCAAGTCACCTTTCATTTTAAATACTCTCTCATTTTACTTGATCCCTTGCCAAAAAGGTCAATGTCACAAGCATAAGACATTTATTTTTTTTTAAATTGTTTGGCTTTATTGCATAGGAACTAATCCCTTTATTCTCATCTCCAGTATGAATTATCTCCCGAAATACAAAATGCATTGGGTGCTCTATCATAATGCAAAGTAGGATCCTACAGCCTGGGAATTTACTTTGTATTTATTATCGTATTGTTTTACATTTGGTCGTGGTAGGCTATAATTAGTGAAGCAAGAGGCAGAAAGCAGCAATATTGAACTAAATGAGCGAATGAATGAAAACCATACTTCATGCCTCTCAAGACTTGCGCCCTGCTATCTCTCTGATACTCACGCGTGTCAAGAAACCTGCAAGAAATCAACAGGTGCAGTAACTGATCTCCCGGGAATGTTCATTTATTGACAGTGAACTTGTGCCAGGCCCTGATGTGACTGTTGGACACAACCCCGTGAGCAGAACTGACTCATAAATACTCCCTCCTCTCCAGTTTCATACGTATTTGACACAGTGCCTTTAGGTTAAGGGACTAGAGCTCAGAAGATAAACCACAACGAGTGGAAAAATCATCACTTCTTTGTGTCCCACAGTTTGATTAACCAGTCATACAACCTTAAAGAGATAATCTTTTTTAAAAAAAGAAATCGGCCGGGCGCAGTGGCTCACGCCTGTCATCCTAGCACTCTGGGAGGCCGAGGCGGGAGGATCGCTCAAGGTCAGGAGTTCAAAACCAGCCTGAGCAAGAGCAAGACCCTGTCTCTACTAGAGATAGAAAGAAATTAATTGGCCAACTAATATATATAGAAAAAATTAGCCGGGCATGGTGGCGCATGCCTGTAGTCCCAGCTACTGCTTGGGAGGCTGAGGCAGGAGGATCACTTGAGCTCAGGAGTCTGAGGTTGCTGTGAGCTAGGCTAATGCCATGGCACTCACTCTAGCCTGGGCAACAAAGTGAGACTCTGTCTCAAAAAAATAAAAAATAAAAAAATAAAATAGGCCGGGCGCGGTGGCTCACGCCTGTCATCCTAGCACTCTGGGAGGCCGAGGCGGGTGGATTGCTCAAGGTCAGGAGTTTGAGACCAGCCTGAGCAAGAGCGAGACCCCGTCTCTACTATAAATAGAAAGAAATTAATTGGCCAACTAAAATATATATATACAAAAAATTAGCCGGGCATGGTGGTGCATGCCTGTAGTCCCAGCTACTCGGGAGGCTGAGGCAGGAGGATCGCTTGAGCCCAGGAGTTGGAGGTTGCTGTGAGCGAGGCTGACGCCACGGCACTCACTCTAGCCTGGGCAGCAAAGCGAGACTCTGTCTCAAAAAAAATAAAAAATAAAAAAAAGAAATAAAAAAGAAATCGATTTGATGTATTCTAAAAGAGAATGGTGCTTTTTCTCCTTCCCCGTTGGAATATTATCTTCATCTTCAAGTTTCACATATCCATTGATGCTTTCAATCCCACATTTAACAAAAACATTTGAGTGCCTACTATCTGCAAACACAGTGCTAACTAAGTACGGTCAATGCAACAGTGCACAAAACAGATGCGGCACGGTCCCTGTGCTCATGGAATTTATAATCTAATTTTTTAAAGGGTTTCAGAGTCTGCATTCAGAGAGACCTCCTAGAGCTATGTTGTCCAGTATAGACACAGGTGACTATTTAGATTTAAACCAATAAAATAAAATTTTCAGTCGCACGAGCATTTTTCCATGATTTCTACCATAGTGGACCTTGCAGATTTTGAACGTTTCCATCATCACGAAGGCTTCATAAAGGCTTGGCTGAAGACTAAAGCGAGTCATCAGATGAGAGACTTTCAGTGCTATTCTATGGCAGATGAAGGAGCTCCAGGAAATTTCCAAAAAGGAAGGATTTGGCCGTGAACATCTCCAACAGAGAGAAGTTCAATAATTGTGTGAAATCACTTGATGCCGACTTGGCCAAATTTCCGTGGTAATTTTGATCTTCACAAAATGTCAGTTATTTCGCGCAAACGCACACACACAAATATTTGTGATGCATAATTTCAGCTACTCTGAACAATTTGCCAGCATTTCCTGTATTTCACCTTAGAATTTTGTAAAATTTCGACATGTTTCGGGGCCACATCCAAAATAAATTTTAGGTTATTTTTTGTTGTTGTTTCTTTCAAAAAACCATAAGCTCTCATGAACTTGTCATCTTCCATTCATTTCTCAAAACTGATATGCCAACTCCATTAACTCTCCTATCAAACAAATATGAGGCCCAAATGTAACTACATGTTAATAAAAATCAGAATTGTCCATTTGTGTTTAAATTTAATAACAGTTGGAATGTTGCGTATGTTATTGGGAAGAAGTAGATGATTGGGAAGTAAAATAAACTCTAAAATGAATCAGCAGTAGGAGTCAAAATAAAAAATCCTAAAAACACAATAAATTTCCCAAACTTCAATAATATGAGATTTCATTTGGACCGATTTGGTCATTATAGGTAACAAGTAATAAATGTGACTATTTTCCCAAAATTTTCTGGTATTTTCATCATCTAAAAATACTTTATACACATAAGGGCCCCCCCACTTAGTTATAGCTGGGCTCTGACCAGCTATAACTATGGTCACTCAACAGAAACTTTAGCAAACATGTTTTTGCCCTAAGCGATCTAAATTTAGGGTGTTCTATCAAATTAAAAACCAGTTCTCTCTTTTACCCAATTCTAAAACAAAAGCAAAATGAGCAAACCTATCGCTCATCTAAGTCATGAAAAATTGATTCTAGGTTGTGTGAGATTTAAAAGTAAACTTAAAGATGTACCTGATGTAGAAGGAGAAATACAAATTTAACTCAAGTTTCCCAATTCCTGATTCTAGTTACCTGCCCCATTCTCTAGTCTAGACGAACTTGTCATAGAACTCCATCAGGGTTCTATTTGGAAATGACTTCACAATAGTAATTGAAGGCATGGAAAGATAGAAATGAGCAAAAAGGCTGTTATTTTTACCACTTCCATTAAAAAACAGAATGATGGGGTTTAGTTTACACTAACAGGGCAATTTTAACTAATAAAAATATGCAACTATGAATGGAAAAAAAATATTCAAACTCACAGTAAGCATTTATTGAAATTCCAAAGTAGAGTTCAAAGGGTTCGATTCATTTTAGATTAGGTTGCAATTTTCCCTGGGTTGTGACGTTGTGTCCAGTTTCATAACATATTTGGTGCTCCCTTGAAAAGAAAATAAATCAGCATGGCTTTGTTGATACACATTCTCATTCAAATGCTTCAGACAATCTATTAAATATTGTCAGTGTGAACTTACGAATTCTGAATTACGGATGTGTTTTAGGACAAATACTCTTTAGATACTTACTCTGAAGGCTTACACTATAGAGTTAAACTAAAGTATCTACTAACGGTTCATCGGAAACCTACTTCGTTAGTTGGCGTAGTTCCAGTTCACTAGCACTTATCGTGTCTGACAATGAGTTGTCCAAGTCTGTAAATGGTGGAGCCCTGACTAATGATAATAGATTTCTGTGTCGCAAAATTCTGAGAGACAGGACCTGGACTGTGAAATGTACAAGGACCCTTGCTCTTGACAGTGAGGAAGACCTGGTTGTAACTTCCTAAATAAATACCCCGAGCATAGAAGGCATCTTTTTAACACAGGCAAGGATCTGTTACCTTTGGTTTTTTACAGCATTTTCAGCACCTGAAATTTTCTCGTTCATTTTTTTTTTTTTTTAAGAAATACAAAGGTCCAGATTACTTCCTCTTTTCCAAAATCATTAAGGTTTCCATGCTACCAATAGAAAAAAATCCAAGGCATTTAGAACGTTGTCCAAGCCATTTAGAACATCATTAAAGACTTCCACGGTCTGGCTTATGTATTTTTACTCTTCTCCTGCCTATATTTATTTATTGCCTGTGATTCCATCCTCTTATATCAGGGATCAGAAAGATGGTGGCCAGTGGGGCTGGATCACAGTGAGAGAGGACAGGTCAGAGTTCAGTGTGGCCTCTGGTCAGAGTTCAGTATGTATTTTGAGGAAAAGCTGAGTGCTCTTACCAGGGGTTGGCAATGAGGACTGAGATGAAGAGAATGATCAAGCGTCACACCTTGAGTTTCACTTCCTTCAGTAGAAGAAAGGTACCACGCACACCCAGGGTGGGAAGAGGTTCACAAAGGGAAAGAGAATCCTAACCACCCATGCTAAGTTTGAGACTCTGGTTAACTGTCCAAAACAGAGTTCAGAGGAGAATGTCAGGGGTAGAGATATAAATTTGAGAGTCATTAAACATATTAATTATAATTAATGCCTTAGAATTTTATGAGATCACCTAGGAGGGAGGGAAGATAGAACAGAGTTGAAGTCTAGGACCGAGCCACAGGGCGTTTCAACAATTAGGGAACAAATGAACTGAGGAGGAGGAACAAATGAAATAGCCTGACAAGAAGTCAGTACACTATACAGAAAATCAGATGAAGGCAGCTTTAAAAAAAAAAAAAAAAAAACAAGAGCAGAGAATGCCTTCAAAAAGGAAGGAACTACCCTTTCAAATGCTGCTTGGGAAGTCAAGAAGAGACCAGAAAATTGTGTTGGATTTTTGCATGATCACCTTTGCAGGAGCCCAGTGTGCATGGATATTTAAAAAAAAAAAAATGGAATAAGAGAGAGGGTGACCATAAGTAACTCTTAGGAAATTTTCCTTTGAAGGGAATAGAGCAACAGAGTCGTATATGGGTGACATAGGGACAAAGGTTGTGGATTAAGAAGGTTGACATTGGACCATGTTTATTTGTTGACGGGAATAAACCAAACCCAAAGGAAAGGCACAAATGAACGGTGTAGGAAAGAAAGATCGTAATTGCAGAACCAGCGTCATTAAAAGGATATGGGGCCGGGCGCGGTGGCTCACGCCTGTAATCCCAGCACTCTGGGAGGCCGAGGCGGGTGGATCGCTCGAGGTCAGGAGTTCGAAACCAGCCTGAGCAAGAGCGAGACCCCGTCTCTACTATAAATAGAAAGAAATTAATTGGCCAACTAATATATATACAAAAAATTAGCCGGGCATGGTGGCGCATGCCTGTAGTCCCAGCACTTGGGAGGCTGAGGCAGGAGGATGGCTTGAGCCCAGGAGTTTGAGGTTGCTGTGAGCTAGGCTGACGCCATGGCACTCACTCTAGCCTGGGCAACAAAGCGAGACTCTGTCTCAAAAAAAAAAGGATATGGGATCCAGAGAACAAACGGAAGGGTTGGCCTTAGATTACACTCTACGCCCTGGAGTATTTTCATCCAGAAGGAAGGCAAAAAGTGAGGTGACAGAAGAAAAAAACAGGTTGTTTTAAGCAGGGCAGCTCTGTTTATATCTGTTTTATATGTTGTTTTAGGATTGGAGGAGATCAGGTCTCCATCTGGGAGGAAAACTTAAAACCTATGTTATTAAGTAGTAACAATTATTAGAAAGTTCTTTTTTCCTTGCTTGAAATCAAAATTCACCTTCAGCTTGCCAATATCCCAAATTTGGGCACACATCTGTGAGCACAGTCTGGACAGCAAGAGACTATTCTGTTCTTCAACTTGGACAGTCATTCTATTAATTCTGCCCAAGAGGGCTTTAGATACATGTGAATTCACAGCAAAATATTTGGGGGCTTGTTTAATATGAGAGAAAACTTCAAATTTTTCATATGAGAAAAATGTTAATTTAAATAGCCTTTACGTTGTGCTTAATTTATCAGGAGAGGGGGGGCTACCTAAAGAAATTTATATTTGTTAATTTTTAGCTTATAAATCTGTTTTATCTCAGTGATTTTACTCTAGCAGTAATTTAAAATTTTGCCTCATTTGTCCAAAGTACTGACTTTCCTTTTGATTTTATGTCATCCACAAATTTGCTAAGAGTCCCCATGCCTTTTCCATCGGTGATCTCAAATCTATTAGGTAGGTCTCAGAAGAGGAAATACTTATTTTTTTTTTCTTCGTACATCTAACATTTATTGAACAATCCATTTGAAATTTTACAAATGAATAACATCAATTTATTTTAGAGCATCTTAAGCCTATATACTATTTTCCCTCTGAACACTAGGACAGGGCTACCTCTCTCCTACATGCCACTGCTTCTCTTCCATGTTACTAAAATATTTTATTTTATTTTATTTTATTTATTGAACATACAAAACTTTAAAAAAAATACATTTATTCCAAAACAAGATTTCTCGATGGTAACATTGACTTATTTAAATATCTCCCTCTCCTCTTTTAGTTTAATGTTTATGGAATCAGATTTACACCTGAGTAGACACTCATCATTCTTCAAGTTTCATTTATTAGGCCAAGTCTAAAGATCCACATTTATACTTTCTGTTTCCTATGCAATATCATAGTGGGTATATAAAATTAAGTATGGTTTAGCTGCCTGAGCAGCTTACTATTCTCTTCTTTCGCTCGTACTGATTTCAAAAGACCTTCCCCACTTTTCCATGAGAATAAATATAATCGTGTCTTTCATTGTATCCTCTACTCTTGAGCCATGAAGGGTCCGTTCACTTTTTCCATTCACAGGAATATCAAGGGAATGACACATATTTTAGGATTTAGATCCTGTAGTACTTACTTCTATAACTAATTTCTGTATTGGCCATTCTAGTCTAAATGGCAGTGCGGTAACAAAACCAATCTTGAGCTCTCAAATGGCTTAATACTCTAAAAAAAAAAAAAAATGTATCTCTTGTGTAGGAGAAGTCCACTGTTGGGTTGAGCAACCCTACAGGACATCTGTCTAACATGCAGGAATTCATACAGTCTAGCAGCTTCTTTCTCAGGACACTACGATATCAATACATGACACCAAGGTCACTGCGGGGGGCTGGGGAGGGGGGTGGCGCTGAACAGCTACACACTAACTCTTAAATGCTCCAGACTGCAGGTGACATGCACCACCTGTTCTCACAGCTTATCGGCCACAACTATATATGTGGCCCCATATAACTGCAACGGGGCCCAGAAGTGCAGGAGAGAATATGGATATTTGCTGAGGGGTCAATATCCCTGCCAACCTTATCAGTCAGAGTTCAATCAGGCAGCCCTTAATCTGTTCTCCATTTCTATAGTCTTTGTCATTCTAAGAATGCAATATAAGTGGACTCATACGATACATAACCTGTCAAGATTGGCTTTCTTCTCCCATCCTAATTTTCTGAAGATTCACCCAGGTGGTTGCATGGATCAAGGGTTCTTTCCTTTCTGTTGCCGAATAGTATTCCATAGTATGGGTGGACCCTGGTTGGTTGAACCCTCACCCATCAGAAAGGCCATGTGGGTTGTTTTCCAGTTTTTGTCTATTAAGAATTAAGCTGCCGTAAACATCTGTGTACTGGTTTTTGCGTGGACATATGTCTTCATTTCATTGCAGTAAATGCCAAGGAGTGCAATTGCTGAGTCTTACGGTAGTTACATATCTGGTTTTTTAAAGAAACTGCCAAGCTTTTGCAGAGTGACTTTAGCATTTTATATTCCTGCCAGCAACGTACTAGAGAGGTCCAATTTCTTCACATTGTCACCAGCATGTGGTGTTGTCACCATGCTTTATTTACCGATTCCGATAGATACACAGTGATATTTGATTTCCCTAATGGCTAATGACGTTGAACATTTCTCTGTGTGTTTATGTGTCGTCCTATATTCTCTTTGGTGTAATGTCTCTTCTTGTCTTTCACTGGTTTCCTAATTGGGTTGTTTGGCATTTTTGGTTTTTGGGTTTTGGGTTTTTTTTACTATTGAGTTTTGAAAGTTCTTTATGTATGCTAAATGCCAGTCCTTTGTCAGATAGGTGGTTTGCAAATATTTTCCCCCAGTCTGTAGCTTGTCATTTCATCT